TCGGGGAATTTTCCCCTTCGATCCTCGATTCCTTGCCTGGAATTCGAATTGGCTGTGATTATGCGTTGAGACGGTTAAACCGACGTTGCTGTCTTCGTAGTGCAGAAGAACGAGTCGACTTTCACATCACCATCGTGTTGGCACTTGCATCCAATTCACCACTAAAAGTGGTTCGAAAGTGGAATAGTGGAATGGCAATGGCAGTGACACCGAATCTCCTCCTTTGTGCCTCACTCTGCCAATGCTGCTGAGAGGTGCTTCCCACACGAAAACCGTTTGGAGGGAAACTGGGAGGAAAGAGGCGAGCTCCAGACTGCATAAATCTCCCCATCGTCATCGTTGAGGCTTCTTCCACCTGCTTCCTTAGACGACTGCTTGCTTGCTTTCCACACAGGAACACTCAGCGGTCCAGGCGTAGCCTCCATTAACTCCTCAAACGAGGCATTTCGGCTGCCTCCTCGCCTCTTGCCTACGGCGCACATTTTAAGCAAACACTGTGTATTAAAGCTAAGGAAAAATCTACAGGATGAATCTCTCTTTCATAGCACTAATTCTTCACTTACTAAAACGATTGTGAACAATAAAATTTAGTGCCTACGATTTTATCACTTTGCTTTGCTCTAAAAGCAGAGCATTCGACTTCGATCCAACTTTATCGCTCCTAAATTTGCCATTTCATGCGTTCTTTTCAATAATGCCCTGTCTAACTCTCACTTGACTGCTGAGTGGGTTAATTTGCTGTAGTTTCTTCTTCTGCAACAAGCCACGACTCGCCTTCGGCATGGCTGTTGCTCAACTGTCTCGTGGCTTGGCACATCAGGAGCCTGTTTACCACTTGTAGCTTCATTCTGCAGCTCTATAGACGATGCAGCGGACAGTAGAGGGGAAGGAGGGCAAATGAAGAGTCAATTCCCATGGTGAAGTCGGATCGGTTCCCCAGCGAGGCCTTCGTTCGAATTTTAGTCCCGCCTCCGACCTACGAGGCAGGGTAGACCCAAATGCAAGGGATGTTGCAGTCCACTTGAGGCATCCAACTCACCGCCTGCGTGCAAAGAGGAGCCACACCGCCACAGTGGTGATGCAGTCAATGGCCCATCGCCTCGCATTTGTCATGGTT